CGCAGCAGCAGCAACAACAACAACAGCAGCAGCAGCAGCGAACGAACCGTTCCAATCGACAACACACAAATCGGCAGCAGCGCCGATGTAAATCGAACCCAACCCGAGAAGAATGGCTCGAGAAACTAAAAATCCCAGTATCTGGAGTCTCTCTGGAACCCATGACCGGAACCCAGATCTTGCAGCGATTGAAGGAACGATTTGAGGAAGTCTCGACGAGGTATCTTCCCTGTGTCGACTTTTTGGTCCAGTGCCAACAAGAACTGCGGAAGGGATTACAGGTTGCTACTACCAAACGGTACGTACACAGCGTGTTTCGGGATACGCTGACGTCCCGAGAGTTCCACACGCAGTACATTTCGAAGCTCCCCGACCGCTTTTACCGAAAAAACAACGGGAAGATGACGCCCGACCACCTCCGGGAGGCGTACAAGGAGCTCCAGAAACTGGTCGCCAATTCCAAAGACGTCGAGAGCCAGGGCTGCGAGGCGGTGAAGAACACCTTTTTGGGGGGAATGAAGGACGGCGAGTCGTGGGGGCTGCGAAAATGGCTGTCCAAGCACGGAGGTGCCCTCCACATCTGCAACGACACGGAGTGCATGTCCACGTCCTGCCAGAAACTGGACCGCGAACTTGAAACAACCCGCAAGCTCGCCGAGCGCCTGCGGCCGATGGCGGCGAAGTCGCTCAAAAAGCTCAAGTCGGACATTCCCGCGTCCTACCAGGAGCAGTCCTCTGCCCACCCGTACCTTCCCTTCTTTCACCGCCTCGAGTGTGCGCTGAGGGCCATGTCCAACTTCGATCCGGAGGACGACGATGTCATCTGCATCATCGACGACGACGAGGTCGAGGAGCTCAAGGCCAAGGCAGCGGCCGCATCTTCCTCGTCGTCGTCTTCCAACAAAGCCAAGCGCCGAAGCTCCGCCGCCGGCAAAAGCAAAACCTCGGAAAGCATGAACGGCAACAGGGGCGGCACGAAACGAAAGCACCAACAGGTGGAGTTGGACATTATCGATCCCGGCGACGATAGCGACGTTGAGGTTCTAGAGCAAAAGCCTCCGCCGAGGCGGACGTCGTATAAAAACAACAAGAGATCGGAACTTTCCACCGAGACAAACGCAAGCCGCTTGGAGGTGGACGGGATCTCTCACAACGAGAAGACGAGAACCGTGGACGAAATTTTCAAAGAGACGGACAACGAACTGGAAGAGCTGTTCAAAACCCTGGAGGACGATCCCCACGAAGATATGTTTTATGACCACATGCCGAAGACCGACAACATATCGAAGTACGACGCCTATCAACTCGCGGACGGCCTGGACTCTCTGGCTACCTTGTTCGATACCAATCAGCACGACAAGGTCCGCCCGGACGATTTCAAACAAGAATCCTTCTGGGACAGAAGCTACCCTTTCGCGAGTGCCCTGCGGCTCTTCTCCGAAATACTGCGATCCCCAGACTGCTCCGGGAACTTTCTAGAGTCCGTTGACGACCTAGAACGGAAGCAAGAAGGAATCCGTCCGTACAAGTCAATCGTCAAGCACCCTCTCTGTTTTCGAGACATTTGTTGCGCTCTGCTGGAGGACTTTAACCAAATCGATAACAGCATAACCTGCAGCGATGGCAAGCTCACCTCGGAAAAACTGCAGATCTGGAACATGTGGAAGGGGATGGACCTGCTCCAGGCAATCGACCTGGTCTTTCTCAACTCGCTAGCCTATGGAAAGGCAAACGAGGCGGGAACGAAATCCAACACGCGCTCGAAAACCAACCGTCTCCGCAAGGTGCTGTGGTCGGGGATCAAGGAGGTCATCGACGCCTCGCTTGGCAAGAACGGCGGCCAGGAGGAGCGCCGGAAGTGCACTCCCACGAGGAGGGGCGAATCCAGTGGGTTTGTAGTGTACAAGGGGGTGTCAACGTGACGTGACGTGACGTGACGTGACGACATGCGATGCGATGTGATTCGCGCAAGGGCGACAACGGTAGAGATGCACGCAAGACGGAACGACAACGCAGGATAGCGCAGCGCGGCATGGCACGGTGCAGGAATGTATCCGCTTCGAAGAACTTGGCGGTCGATATGCTCTGCGCTAGTACTCCATCGCACTACCGTGATTGTACATATACATTATGAATGATTAGCTGTTGCATTTTTGATAATACATTTAGAAATCTAACATTAGCATCCCCTCAAAAAATCCTAAACATAATAGAATCGATGGCATCAACCGGTCTGAACATCGCGTCCTCGAACGGTCGAGATCAACTCACCCAGGTTGATTAAAAAGTTATCGTTTGTTTTTGTCACTCGATTTGCACGCCATACCAATTTTGGCTGTTGTTCCAAAGCAGGAAGACTGGTCTCCCTATTTTTCTTTCTTTACCGAGCCTCTGGTGGCCGTTGTGTAGGTAGCCGATTTGCCGTTCAAAAACTTCTCGATCGGAGAGTGGGAGACAGACGGCTTTAGCGTCGTCATCTGTTCCATTGGAACAAAATTATTTTTCCCCGGTGCGAATTCAATGGATGGCATTTTCGCGGCTCCCTCGCTAATTGATGACAAGCACTGGGCAGCCGGTTGGGTGTAGCTGTTGCGGTTGCTCGCACTTGCATTTGGGGCCGTTGTCTTCGGAGACAACGGGATAGATACGGAATCGACGTGTCGTCGAGGCGCGAAATCCGGTGGATCCTCCCCGGGAGAGTCGTGGTGTCGCCGAACGTGCGACCTCCTAAAGTTTTTAACTTCGCGAGGGTCGTCCACTTGGGAGTGCGGCCAGAGATCCGGTCGAGAGACACTCTGCCTTCGGATCATCGGACTCCGCTCGTTCAGTGGCATGCTCGCATCGCCCTCCGAACGATTGTAGAAGAGAACATAAGAGGATTTGAATAACCGCTGGTGGACGGAATCATCAACAGAACGGTAGGAGCTGTCGTTGAACTCGTACCAGACATCGTCGAATCGGTTTAGTGTGTGGGCGGTGTAGTGGCCTCCTCCGAGTCCTCCCATGTGGTTTGAGACGGCATACAGATCGTACATGGGATATACTCCGCGGGAACTTTTGACACGTGATTTCAGATCCCATTCCGTAACAGGATATCTTATCGAAGCATCGTTTTTTGAACCAACCTTGCCGTAATCATTATATTTAAAACGCTTCAAATGAACAATTAAAACTGGTGGAAGCATCCATATATCTTGTTTTTTGGTTCCGTCGACATGCTCATTGCACTTTTCACAAAAATACTGGTCAGCGCCTTTCAGGACATCCTCTTTCAAGTAAAGGTCCATGCAGTCATCAATAGATTTACAATCCTTCGTTATTGGGAGAGAAAGATACATGAATGGCTCGAATCTAATATTGATTTGCCCACACTTCAAACATTTGCACGTATTCCGTAATTGTCCTTGGAACATATCGACGACTAGAGATTTATTTCGTCGCAAATAATTCTTCCAGTTTTCTACTGCATCTTCTTCGTCGTTACTTCCATCACAGTCTCTATCTTCGACGTAGGGGCGTTCTTTCACTCGGTTTAGATCTTCGTGAATTCCATCCAACAGAAAGGCAAGCAATTCCTGTGCATCATGTTGATGATAGCCCAAAAATTGTGGTGCAAAGGTCTGAAGTTGTTTCTTAAAGTCGATGGGTTCTACCACAGATTTACTTCCAAGCCAAAGTTGTTTTGTGAGTTCGGCATATGCAGTAACAAGTTTTCCTCCAGTTCCAAGAAAATTCTTCTTGTTGATTTCCGACCGATAGTCATACCCTAGGAAGTAGTCTGTCAGTGGAATTGTTGCACTTAAGCATTGCAAACTGCTGTTCAAGAAACAGGTATTTCCGAGGTTTTTCAACCCTATTACTCCCATTGGCACATTCTGGTCATGTTTACTGATTTCTGCCTCTGACAAATTGTACATCACAATATCGTGAACATGGCTATATGTTGAGGCTCGCGCTCTTGGCGAGTTTGGAACACCGTCGTCCTTCCCATTTTGTGGGGCACCGAAAAATGCATTTCCGTTTCGATCAACCCTAGAGCCGACACGTAATATTGATCTTCGGATCGAAGAAAAAATCCCATCCCTATTGCGCTTCGATCCAGCAGTGGCTCTAGATGGTGTCAGTATTTGCTTTGGCGAAAAACCTCCATCGACCGGTGGGGGTGGGATATGTGCTATAGTCGGTGTAGCGGTGTGGTGAATATAGTCTTCGGATGCACCTAATTTCCCTTGACATTGTGCTTCGTCCATTGGCGGGAGCTTGGAGCAACTCTGGCCCATGATTACCGGCTCCTCCAGCCGTTCCTCTTCTGTGCTGTAATAACCTAAAGTCAAGATTTTACAGAGTTGTTTTGTAAGCATTCGGAGGATGCGGAGGTCTGGGCGACAGAAAGTTTTGTTTTCCTTGTTTCAGATCTCTCTCTATTTTTCGTATCTTTTAAGTAGTCAAGGGAGGGCAGTTGTGGATCAACAAGGTCCAAAGTCTGTGTAGCTTGCTGGTACGGGTACCTACTATTGAAAAATAGAGAATTTGGTAACTTCCTACCGCCACTATTGTCACGGACAGAGGTGAGGTTAATAACATCACAATCGGCTAGCGTTTGCATGAATCTAGGATAAGAATTCGTCACTACCAAAGGGTAATCGTACCGTACGGGAAGTTTGAGGTAGTAACAAACTTTTTCAAAACTGATCAATACAAAACGTACGTACAGCACGTACGTACTTGTACTGTGTTTTGACCATCACTTTTTTACGCATGCACGCATGCTGCGAGCCCATTTCATTAAATCTACGTTACCGGTACAGGTACCGGTACGATTTCATATTATTTTTTTGTTTTCAATCGAGTCTGCTTTCAAATGTCTCGGTTTCATGATTATTGTACGTGTACGTAGTGTACTACGGATTACCTCTGCAGCGTGTACAATCTAATTAAATGGAACTTGTTCGATGTGATCAACTAAACATTGCAATGTTCGTTACCAGTCTCGGTAAAATAACACTACGAGTACTAGTAGTAATAAGTAACGTCTCACGAAGTATGAAAGGTATGTAATGAGGGAATCCACGTACCCTCGCTAAAAACTAATACTGAAGCCTTTGAGACAGTAAATGTTATCGGAAACATCGCATACAGAGGAAGGGGTTATGACACCTACCTATCGGGTACAATAAATCTTGTGACGGATGACTTATCTAAGACTGGCATGCGTACGGTACAGAAGTACATACCGTACAGCAAGGGAGCATTTGTTATTTGGTGGCAACTCTTACGGTTTACTGTAGTTGAGGATTGTTTTCACTCAGCACTTTCCTACGGTACGGAGAATGCGGAATTGTTTAGCAATTTTGGCGAGTAAAATGACCGAATGAGCAATAATAATATGTGAAGCCCCCACAAATTTGGGACGATGGCTCTCTTTGAAAAATTTAAGTTCTCAAACCTATCTCGACGGACTGAAATTGGTACGTACTGCACCATACCTCGTACTCGATACACAAGTACTTTTTTTCGATTTGTTTTGGCTATTGTGATACTGCCGGATGCTCCTAATCGCTTCTTGAGGACCAGTTATTGAACCCCTTTCTGAAGAATCAGTATGCATCTTGTCAGGGTTAGAATCATCAACCAATACGATAACAAACTTTTACTTGAAGACACGACAATTGAAGTTGAAACCGCAGCAGTAATTGGGATACAAAAGAGCCCAGATAATTAAATTGAATAAACGCACGATCATAGAGGTCTTTCCGGAGTGTATTTTGCATCATGAACCATAAAAGGAAGAGGAGAGCAGTCGCTCTCTTATCCTGGGCTATTGGGGTTGGTTCTGTTTTCTCTATTGCGTCCGCAGGCCACTTGAGAAACTCGGGGGGAGCAAGAACAAGCAGTTTGGGGTCGCCTGCTGTCAGGGGGAGAATATTACCATGTTCGGATACACTCGATGAAGTAGAGTCCGAGATTGAATCAGTCGAGGCAATACTTAGACATCGTTCCGATCCGATAGAAAACAACATATTTGTCCATCACGTACCAACAAATCCTCCAACAAGATCACCGACAATATCTCCAACTGTGTCCCAAAGTGAAATGCCGACGACTACTTCATCAATTAATAACAACATGGAATCCACAATACCAACAATATTATCCGGTAGTGAAGTTCCAACAGGAGGGATATCAACAACACCTTCGACAATGCCTTCTTTACTAGACAATAAGGGTACAGATGCACCAACACCTGCCTCGACAGACGTTACAACAGACTCGGCCACAAACTTGACGACAAATGCTCCATCAAACGCGACAACAGACGCACCAACAGATGACCCAGTATTGAACATCACAGAGACACCAACTGCTGCTCCGACCCACAATTTCACGATGTATACGATCGACGACTTTTTGGCCGAAACAATCTCACATAACGGGGCATTATACGATGTGGGCACTCCGCAGAACAAAGCAATGGAAGCACTACTGAACACGTCTTCCGCACTCGATCCAAATAGTGTAAATGACCAAATCGAGATTATTCAACGGTACGCTCTCAATACGCTATACTTTGCGACAAATGGGGAGGATTGGGAGGTAAACGATGGCTGGACGTCAGAAGGTCACCCCTGCGGATTCAAAAACGAAAACGAGGAAGCCGAAGACAACTGGCATGGGATTTTGTGCGACGATGATCTAATAATTGTCGAGAAAATAACACTAGAAAAGAACGGACTAAGAGGGATGGTGCCCTCAGAGATAAAGGGACTGGTTCAATTGGTACGGTTCGACGTTTCAGACAATCAAATCAGCGGGACTCTCACTCCCGCTATTGGAGAGCTCGAGGATCTTTCTGTACTGGATATCAATACTAACTTTTTCACGGGAACAATCCCTACAACTATTGGAAATTTGACTTCGATAAAGTTATTGGATGCTTCCTCCAACTTTTTTTCTGGGACGTTGGCGACAGAAGTCGGTCAACTGAAGGATCTGGTCACGTTTCATGTAGATTCGAATTTTTTGAGTGGCACCTTATCTTCGGAACTCTTCTCAATGACTGATTTAGGTAAGTTTTTCGAATACTCCTTGAGTTGTCCGACGATAAATTGTCTTGCCATCTTTTCTAATCTACATACTTTCTTATTTCGCGCAGTGTCTATACGCATGGACAACAACCAGTTTTCTGGTTCCTTTCCTACAGAAATCGGCCAACTCTCTAAAGCAATTTTCATGTCATTTTCACAGAACTCACTAACTGGAACAATCCCGGAAGAGTTAGGGTTGAATGGAGATCTTGAATTCTTTAACGCCACGGCGAATTTCATCGGAGGTCGACTTCCAGATATCTTCGAAGACTTGTTTTACTTAAAAACATTCGATATGGCGCTGAATTTCTTGACAGGGAGCCTTCCTGAAACGTTTTTCGCGAACTCTTCCGTGTTGGAAAGACTAGATCTCCATGGAAATACTCTCGGGGAAGAATTGTTTCTACAAGATGGCCTTGGTCAGATGACCACATTACAGGTGTTGGATCTTTCGACGAACCTTTTCTTAGGGACTATTCCGCAAGCGATAGGTGAAATGACAAAACTAACCGAGTTGCGATTGGACAAGAATTTGTTGACTGGTGCAGTTCCTGCGAACTTATCACAGCTAAGCGATATCGAAATATTGTCGTTGTCTGAAAATATTCTTACGACCCTCCCACCTGACTTGACAGACCTTTTCAGGCTCAAGGAGCTACAGTTGAGTACCAACTACTTCGAAGAGATACCAAAGGAATATTTCAATGACTTTCCGAGCCTTGGTGAGAATTTTAAATTGAGGAGTTTTTACTTGCAACATTGATTGATCTTCCTATGCTGACATCTCTTTCGTCATTTTTTCATTTTCTGGTGTAAAGAAATATTAAATGTTTCAAGAAATGAATTTGAAGTAGATACTTTACCTGATGTATTCCTTTCAAAATCTCTGAAAATAATGGACTTGAGCTTCAACAACTTAAATGCAACGTTCAATATTTCGACATTGTTGGGTCTTGACCAAGTCGAGAACTTGCATATGGCTGATTGCTCGATCTCTTCAAGTCTCCCTGACGAGATCAGTACTTTGCAATCGTTAGTGACAATCGATAGTGACAATCGATTTTGACAGCAACGATTTATCAGGAACCATTCCTTCTTCTCTTGCTGAGATCCTTACCTTGGAGAATATAATGTTTGGATCAAATGCACTTACAGGGACAATTCCATCAGAGTTAGGTCAGCTTGATAATCTAACATTGCTCGAGCTGCAATCGAATTTTCTTACAGGTACAATTCCCACAGAGTTATTCAATATCACTGGCCTAATGTTCGACTACACGGGGAATAACATACCAGATTCAGACGTAACAGGTTCAGATGGAACAGGTTCAGATGGAACAGGTTCAGATGGAACAGGTTCAGATGGAACAGGTTCAGATGGAACAGGTTCAGACGGAGCGGGTTCAGAAGGAACGGGTTCAGATGAGACAGGTTCAGATGAAATAGGTTCAGATGTCACAGGTTCAGATGTCACAGGTTCAGATG